AGGAATGCCACAAGGGACCATAATGGGGGTCACACTGTACATTGTTTACAATGGGCACAAACACACAAAATGACTTTTTCCTTTTTTAGCTTATTAAATCCAGAATGTTCCAAAGAAGGCATCCACTAAGGGTAAAAAAGTCCCAACGTCACAATGATGATAAATAACAGCTATATTCACAGAGACCCAATCAGGACACACGCAAAAGCCACAGGCTTTCCCAGCAGGAGGACGCAGGCCTTTCCAAAACCACCTGCCTGGGCTTTCTTCAGAGGGGCCAACGCACCCATGAGTCTACCCACCCAGCACCCTGCCCCAGCATAGGACACAGCTCGTCCTTCTGGCACCTAAGGTTACTTTTTAGACCAGGTGACACAGACGATGCAAGTAGAAGACAGGACGGGCCATGCCATCACACCTTACAGTGGGAAGTGAGGTCAGACGACTTCGGTTAGGAGATGGGGTGTGAGAAAGGGCCACTGCCCAGATGCGAGAGCCCAGCAAGGAAGTGAGCGCGGGTGCGGCCTGCGCGCGGAATCTCAGATGAAGTGAATCCAGCTCTCCTCGCACTCCCCGCGCGGCATGTGCAGTGCATGGTTGCGGCACGTGAGGCTGTAGTCGCGACCGTCGTTGTTGTCCCAGTACTCGGCGCCGGCCACACGGTAGCGCAGCGCGAAGTGCACGCGGGAGCCGAGCGCCAGCAGGAAGGGCGGCACCGGGAAGCCGAAGGTGAAGACGTCCTCGGCGCCCTCAGTGCCCGCCGGCCCGCGCCACCGCGCCGCAGCCTCGTGCGCGCTGCGCCAGTCCGAGAACGTGTAACGCACCGCCACCTGCTTCTCGAAGGCCAGGTTGCGCACGCGCGCCGTACCGCTGATGCCCAGGTCTGAGCAGGTGACGCGCTCCAGACACACGAGCTGCCGACCCAGGCGCTCGCCGAAGTCAGGGGTCTCGACGGGCGGCGGGAAGTCGGGCACCAGGCACTGCAGGGTGAACTCCAGGTCCTGGCTGCTGCAGCACAGGTCCGAGTTGATGGCAAGACGCGACAGCACGTGCAGTGGCACGGACGGGTCGTCGCCCGCGTTGAACACCTTGACCTGCGCCAGCTCCAGGCCCAGAGCGTCGGCGAAGCGCACGCGGTGCTGCCTGCTGCAGCCCGGCCGGCACGCAGCGCCCTGCGCGCCTGCGCCCTTATGGCGGCGCTCAGGCGAGCTGGGCAGCGAGCGCGCCCGCCTTAGGATGATGGGCCGCAGGCAGGGGTCGCAGCCGGACGGCGCGGGCGGCGGCGGCGGCGCCGCGCTGCCCGGGCTCCCGGGCGGCCTGCAGGGCCGCGACTCCCGGGCCGCGCCACCGTCCAGGTCCGAGAGGCAGCTGAGGCTCCGCGGGGCGGGCTTCCGGAAACCGGCGGCGGCGGGGAGGACCGCGGAGCCCGGGCCTCTGGACATGGCCCGGCCGGCCGTCAAGCGATGGGGAGGTGGAACCGAGGGGCGGCCTTCCGACCCCGCGTCCGCTCCCTCGGTATCCCCGGCCGTGCTCAGCAGCCCCTGGGGAGGGTCCGCCGGAACCTCTGCCTGCAGGGGATCCAGTGGGCCGGCTGCGCCCTCCCCTCGACAGCCACTTCTACCCTCGAGTCCGCGCCCCTCGAGTCCTCGCTCGGGTTTTTCGCTTTGGGCAGCAAAAAGAATCTGATTTCAATAGATGAGTGCTTGCTCCCGTGGAAGCTTTTCGGGGCCACCGCGGAGCGCGGGGTGGAGCCGGCCTTCTGCTTCCTCCCGGGTGCCTGGGGGAAGGCGGTGTCCGCCCAGCGGCCGCTCCCACCCCCGGGGCCCTGGCGTTACTTACGCGGCTGCAACTTGTCGGTGCAACTTCCCGGTGAGCCTCCGCCCCGCCCCTCGTGACGCGGCCGCGCGCGGACTCCCGCAGCCCGAGCGCCGCCGCCGCGCCTGCAGCAGCGCGCCGCAGTCCGGCCTCCCGCCCGGGCCCGGGAAGGAAGGCCGGCGGCCGCGTCACGTGTCCTGGCGATCGCGAAACAGGTCTGATCAATCTCTGTCCGCGTCTGCCTGTCCCGCCCGCCGATCGATCATAGATCCGCGTCTGCACAAACGGAGGACCAGGAACGTGCATGCTGCTTGTCCTCGGATTTCTGGGTTAATGGGGGCGGGGGAGGCGTGCAAAGCCCGGCCTTTCCAGGAGCTCGTCCCCAGGCTGATTTTAAGCCTCGAGGCTAGCCAGCTCTTTGGACGTTTGCACTGCAGCCTGGACCCTAGGCCAGACCGAGGGAGCCTCGCTGCATAGAGGAGAAGCGTCCTGTCCCCACGGCACCCACAATGCTTTGCTGCTCGGGACCGTCCCCGGGGGTGGGGAGCGGGCGGCGTGGCTGCGGCTGCGGCTGCGGCTGCGGCTGTCTCGTGGCGCCGCGCCGGAGAGGAAGATGTGGGAGTAACAGTTCATACCCTGGGGTGACATATGCGGTTGCCCCTAAGCAAGCAGCCTCTGGCGCTTGGGACGCATTTCTGGAGCCAGAATCTCAGACTTTTAGCTTTGTTCCGATGGGAGCCGGAACCGTCAGGGAAACCGGAGCTTGTTTTCTGCGTCCTTAGGGACCCTGCAGGGTGTCATCTGTCTCTAATTTGGTGCAGAAAACGGCACAGCCTAGGGTGTAAAGCTTGCCAGGTGAAGGAGAGAAGATGGGGAGTGCACCAGGCTAATTGGAGGAGGGTTGGTAAAGAACGTTTTCTACGCCCAAAACGAATCAAGCCGTTGATTATGGTATAATTCATTCATTGTGAGGGCCCGCATGTGTCTTTTATTCCAATCGTATGTACACTGACCAAAATGGCACACGTGCTTCTTTTGAAAAATAACACAGCGAAGTTTTAGGAAGGAAATAAAAATCTTGTATAATCCCACCTCTTCCATTTTTCAGAGGCAGGGGATATTATGGAAGAAAGAAATACGTATTCACGTTCAAATGGGGCACTTTTAGTAGCCCACTCAAAATAAGAGGGGAAAAGCAACCTTGGGTGGTACAAATCAACAAAATGTCACAGAGATAACATCGTGTGATGTGTATGAAGATACTGATATAACTTTTTCGTGGATTGATGTGATAGTGAAGGCAGGAGACTTGAAAGAGAGCCTCCACAGCAGAGTTTAAGCTCCACAAGAGCAGGGCATGTGTGTAAACCTGCCGTTTTCTAGGCACTCCTGTAAGTATTTGTTGAAAGAACGAACGAGCGAATGAATGAATGGACATGAGAACTTTGGAGCAACACCCGACCTTAATTAGCCCCACAAATTTCCACAGCATGTTATTTCCAAGGGGATGTTGTGTGTGGGTATGTGTGGGTATGGGGAGAGAGAGAGAGAATCCATTTGTAGTACTGTGATCTTGTAGCTAATATCCACTGTGAAAAACAAACAAGTAAAGATTAAACCGTAAATACAAGGCAATATCCTTCCACCAGTTTTTCTATACAATTTGAATATTTAAGAACAAACAAGTGAAAACCAACACAATACTGGTGACAGGACCGTTTGCAGTCAGTACTTACCGACACTTCTGTTGCTTCTAGTTCCGGTGGTAAGGAGTCCTTTCCAAATATAAGAGGAATAAAAAAGTTACTTCCCCTGCTGCCATCATCTCCCAACAGACTGAGCAAGAATATTTCGAGCGCTACAGCAAAGGTGATGTAAACTTTGAAGTAAAATCTTATTTAGATTTGTTGGGGTTTTTTTCCTGTTTGTTTCTTGTGTGTGTGTGTGTGTGTGTGTGTGTGTGTGTGTGTGTGTGTTCAGAGTATTTATTAACTACGTGTCTGTTTTTTAGACAGTCCATCAAACCCTAGATGATGATCAGCCGTGTGACTTTTTCAAGAAAGGGAATAGGGTGAATAAATCTTATCAGAAAAGCAGGTAAATAGTTTTTCATGTAATTGCTTTATCTTGCAAAAGGCACGTTATCTCAGTTCTCCAGATTGATATGTGTGGTTGGGAAAAAATATGTCTGTTGATAGGAAATATATACTTATATTTCTTGTCTGGCAGAAATGATTTTAAACATTACTAGTTGGTAAAAATTCCAGAGGTCATAATTCTTGCACTGTTAGCAGAATCCACAGTTTCGGGTAAATCCCTTAATCATCTGTCTATGTTAGTTTCCTTTTATATAAAAAGGATGCTGTTAACTTTTATGGATGCACACAGACAGCTAGAGGTAAATGAAAGTTTTAACAATATTGGCCATGAGGTCTAAATAATGGCAATTCCTTTATCCATTTCGTCAACATTTATTGAGCACGTGTTATGCTACTGGCAATGATTTAACCTCCAACGTGTTTATTTGTTAAGAAGTGACACATTTTCAAGTAATTGCTTAGTGTGGTGGAAACACAGATGAATGTAAACCAGACAAATGAACCTCTGAGGTTTCCACAAAGCATGTTTACCACCCAATTCTTTTTTTTTTTTTTTTTTTTTTTTTGCGGTACGCGGGCCTCTCACTGCTGTGGCCTCTCCCGTTGCGGAGCACAGGCTCCGGACGCGCAGGCTCAGCGGCCATGGCTCACAGGCCCAGCCGCTCCGCGGCACGTGGGATCTTCCCAGACCGGGGCACGAACCCACGTCCCCTGCATTGGCAAGCGGACTCTCAACCACTGCGCCACCAGGGAAGCCCTACCACCAAATTCTTTTAACCCCACCAGACTGATATTGCTGAGAAGTATTATTCATCTTGGCAAAATGCTGCGTTCTTGGTAAATAAGTCAGAAAGAAAATATTTTCACCTCTGATATGAGATCCTGTGTCAGGATAAATTAGAGGGAGAATCAGTTGCCATGCTAGTAACGCACACGGTATTCACAATGTCTGCTTCCCCGCCATTCAAAGGATTGCAGTAAACCTATTTTTTAAATTCATATTGTGTTAAAAGGTATGATTTTATTCCTATTCCTCTAAACAGTTTTTCTGAGTGTGTTTTCTATTTGAAAACACTTTGATAAGCTTTTGGTTTAAGGTGTAGGTTGTATATGCTACACTTTTCCTTAAGACTTTTGTCAGCTCAGAATAACCACCAGTCAGTGATTAAGTTCTGTAAAACTTGTATTTTACATCCTGTTTACATTTAATTGAAAATAGGTATATAAAAGAAAGCTGTGGATTTTACTTGTTCGTGTTATTAAACACTGCTCATCATTAACAGGACAGACTGAGAGTCCTATGAGAGATGTTACTAATGTTTAAAATGATAATATAAGCACTTTATGAAATGTTAGTGTTTTTCTTAAAAGCTAATGTTTGATGTAAAATAGAATCCATGCATTTACTCTGGCACCTGCACTATGATGTTTCCTAAGTAGAGTGTCAAGCGGAAAATTGTCCTGTAACTTGTTCTGTGAGTTTAGAGGCCTCACATTTTCTAATGCCTCGCAATAGCTGAAATATACCACCAGGGGATTCTTTTGGTTCCGTTGTTCAATCATCGGCTGGCCAGTTTTTGTCAGATGGACTAAGAATTGCAGGTTTATTTCTCGCAGCAATATGAATGCAGGCCCCTCTTGGAATAAAGTACAGCGTCCAAAGAATTCAAGAAAAAGGCAGAGTAAATCCCAAGTCCCCCATATCTCGTCCCAGCTGAAAAGCAGTCTCGGAGGATGTGTCCCCCAACCAACTGAGGATAAACTGAAGGAAAGCATTTCCCCGGAAGGAAACCCCAAAAGGAGTCCCCTTGGCTACAGGTGTCGGGGGTCCTCAGGGAACAAGTTGTTTCTGGACTTTCAGACTATGAAAATTATCAAAGAAGATGCTGAGGAGGACAGTGCCAGTGACCTCTCTGATTCAGAAAGAATCCCCGTCCCCCCTCCTCCCCTCACACCTCCAGATCTTCACCTTCGAGCCGAAGAGATTGATGCGGTTCACTTCGATCTGCACCCAGGGCAGGGTCCCACCCAACAGCCCGAATACTCTTACCCTGACTTCCTCCCGGCCCCATGTAACTCCTGGGACCTGCGGGACATGGCTGTGCTCCTACACTCTGAGCGCAGGACAGAGGCAGTGCCCAGACCTGGAGGGCTGCTGGGGAAGTACATCGACAGGCTTGTCCAGCTCGAGTGGCTGCAGATCCAGACAGTCCAGTGCGAGAAAGGAAAGGGGGCCAAGGCGAGGCCTCCCACTGCCCCTGGGACCTCGGGGGCACTGAAAAGCCCTGGGAGAAGCAAGCTGATTGCCAACGTTCTGTCCAGGCCTCAGCAGGACGGGCCGCCGAAGTCAC